TTGATTGCTTCATTCTTTATTTCCCTGAAAGGTTTATTAACCTTTCAAAAGAGGTAGAGAAAAAATTCTGGTTTCTGGGGTAAGATAGGTGCCTTGTTCTTTTGCACTTTGAGGTCCCAGTCTTAGTCTCGAAACACCCCAGACGTGTACCATTCAGGCATTGTCTGCAAGGCTTTGTGATCTACCGAGTTCCTCCAAAAAAGGTCCGTCATTTGAGCTTGACTGGAAATAGGCTACCAGAGAGACTTGGGTGCAACGCTGAGGGAATGTGCTTCTCTGGATATGTAGAAATGGACAGTGCAATGTCACTGGTGACTGAGCTGTTTTCAGAGCCATTGAGTCTCATTTCATCATTGGTGCTGCCAACGATAAATCACTGACTACAGAACGTCATTTAGATTCTCCTGTGGAATGTTTTCCAACCAAGGCACAGATCATTGTTAGTCAGTGTGTGACCACAGATCTTCACGCATTGATTCAGCAAATATTTATTGAGCGATGGCTGTGTCAGGTCATGTGCAGTATTAATTAGCTCTCCTTTTAGCATGGAAGACAACTCTCCCAAATATATTTTTTAAAATCCCAAGAACAGTGTTACTTATCCAAGTGTATATGCCGCGGAGAAGTGAAGAAAATGCTTTCATGTTAACCACTTAAGCAGTCATGTCTTGAGTCACATTCTGCATGTGTGCCAGGCTGCCAAAGCCAGCATATGCCAATTAGCTACCGGACAAATCAAGAAAGCTGATTTGCCCCCTTTGTGAACTACATCAATGGTTCTTTGTGAATTGCCGTGCGAAAGGAAAATAGTTAAGAGCTGTCTTATTAAATGACACCAAGGTGATGTATGAACATGCTTAAGCAAATAAAAATGCCCTCTTTGAGTCAACTATTTAAGTATTTATAGTGAATGGTAAAATAGAAGGCATTGTGAGCCAACTCCAAGGTCTACCAGTTACCTTGAGAGAGATCAGGTAAATATCTCGGGAGTTCTTTGTAGAGAACCAGATATGAACTGAAACAGAATAAATTAGTATACTCTTGTGGAGGGCAGTGTGGTAATACAAGTTAAAGAATTGAAAATTACATCAAGTCTCTGACTGAACCACTCTGCTTCTAGGACTTTACCCCAGGAAGTAATAATGGACGCGCAAAGATTGTTCTACCAGGGCTTTCATAATAGTGAAAAATTAGAAACAACCTAGATATCCAACCATTTGAGATTGGTGAAATAAATTACAGTTCATCGCTATGATAGATGAACTCTATTATCAAATCATTAAAATGAGCTGGAAGAGAAGCACGTCGACTCTCTCCTGCATGTACATTGTTCATGTGTGCTGAGCACTCTCCCCAGTAAGAACACACCGAAAGATGTGCCCAGGTCCTTCAGAAAATGAGAAGGCTGCATCTGTTCATTGGGAGTCAACAGAAATGGTCAGAGGAGCCGGGCGTTCAGGGCCAGGATGGAAACCAACAAAGGAAAGGGGCCGAGTGACTCAGCCTTATCATTCATTTCAGAGTATCCCAATGAAATGGCCCGCAATAGCTCAGAGGACTGGAGAGGTCGTTAGATGCCTGGTAAGGAGGCAGAGTGGGCTGGGGTTACCTGTTCTCTTCCAATGCTTGCTACTAAGGAGAGAGGAACGGCTTAGACCTACAGGGTAGATACATTTTGTTTTGTTTTAAGCAAAAAGGACGTTGAGTGCAGTCGTGATGGAGGAAGAAGTTACTAATTAACAATGAGTAGCATTACTGTAGAGCTTTCTTGTGGCAAGAAAGCATTTGGTAGAATGCAAGTCCTTGGGTCCCATGAAGATGATGAGGACTTGAGATCTCAATTTAGGAACCCCCCAAAGATGGAATCATCCCTACCTTGTACTACTCAGCATGTAATGGTTGATTCAACCAAGAGGAGAATAGTTTGATGACTAAATTGCCTTTCTATAGAGCATAGAGCTAGTTTATTCTGAGCCCTCTGGACCTTAGCCCCTTTCCTCATTAAATTAGACTCTGAAGTGGCTGAGAGTCACTTCACCCCCTGCATTCTCCGAGCTACTGGGTACAAACACACCAGGTGTGGAGTGGAGCTGCCTCTCTCCTCTCCATCCACACCTACAATGAGATCATTGTGATGCCAGTCCCCCAGCTACTGATAAAGGAGGAAAAGGGGAGCCCCCAGGAGTTCATGGTGAGTAGTGCTAGCCCAGGAAGTGGGTATCCAGCTTGAGGAGCGCCTTGGAAAGGGGGGCCCAGCCTCCTGGAGGTTGGTGAGGGGCCAGAAAGAACATGGCTGTGCGTGCATGAGGGTGAGCCGAACTGGGATGGCATTCTAACAAAAATGGGGGCCATGAATTGGTATTAACACCATTTTGTGTATCCTCCCTCAGCCCCAAGCACTTAAACTTCAAGATACCCACAAACAACAAGAAAAGCTCCTCTTTTGAGTGATTTCCCCCATAGTGGCCAACTAAATGAGTGTTTGTCTACAGGAGGGAAAATCCTTGGGCCCGAGCCTTTGCATCCCTAGGTGTGAAATCTTTCCTAAGTATCAACCATTTATTAAATAAATAGAAATAAAGCAGTATTCTTTATATATATATATACCTCTGCAAAATATGTTGGGAGTTCTACTTGGACTCAGATGTCTTTGGTTAAATACCAGTTGCATGTAGTCACCTGGGATGGCCAGGTAGGAGGTGGAAAAGTGGGAGCGTTGCTTATAAGACACTGAGCTCCTGTCATGGGTTGTGGGGAAATTTGCCAACAGATCATGATGATAATTGAACAATATCAGCGAATGGTACCTGTGAAGAAAGTTGAAATGACAAATGTTTGTTAAATATATGTTTTGAAGTACTCGATCCCTTAGCCTTTTTAAATGGCATCCTCTACTTGGCGTTTATCATTAGTTGGCACCACATATACGTGGTGCCTTCTGCATCCGGACATGGTGCATAGCACAGCAGCTGGACACCCACTGCCCCTTCAGGTCAGCCAGTGTTCTCTAGGGAAAGTGATCTGACTTCCAGGCCACCTTCCTGTGTTACTCAGACCTAGGACCCAGTCATCCTGCTCTTCCTTGAGCTGTTTGATGATGCTTGTCATCCGGCTTTTTCAGTGTTCTAGAAGGGAGGGAGGGTCCAATTGCGTCTGTCACTACTAGTCATCGGGATTCTAGTCTATGCACTTTACAGTTTAACTTACCCTATGAGAACTTTCAAAGGCAAACAATGAGGGAAACGACGTACAGAGTGTTTCGTTCCCTGCCAAGAGTCACAGAGCTAATTTATAAGGGAACCAGAATGTGAACCGAGACAGTATCATTTCAGAGCCCCTGTTCTTGATAAGAGTCCTAGGAACTCTGGTGGCATAGTGATTATGCATTGGGCTGCTAACTCTAAGGTCAGCAGTTTGAAACCATCAGCTGTTCCGAGGGAGAAAGATGACCCATGAATTTGTAATAAATCCAATTAGCACAGTTTTGTGTCCTCCCATCCCCACCACTTTACACACACACACACACACACACACATACACACGCATAAGCATAAGCACTTAAACTTTAAAATACCCACAAGCTACAAACAAAGCTCCTCTTTTAAGCAATCCCCCATGCTTGCCAACTAAACAAGTGTTTGTCTACAGGGGGAAAAATCCTGGACCTGAGCCTTTGCATCCCTAGGTGTGAAATTTCCCCCCATGAAATCTTACTCCCATGAAAAGCTAGTCTTGGAAACCCATAGGGGCAGTTCTACCCTGTCCTATAGGGTCATGTGAGTCGGCATCCACTTGCTGGCAGAGTGAGTGAATAAGCTCGTGAGCGAGGGGCTCTGAGTCAGAATGGACTTGTGGCAGGAGTGTGAATTGGAGTGAGCGGAATGGGTTCAGCAATTTGAAACCATGAGCCTCTGCTCGCCTCCTGAGTGAGAGCCCAGGAAACCCCCAGGGGCAGCTCTGCCCTCTCCTCTAGGGGCGCTGTGACTTGGAATTCACTCAGTAGCAATGAGGTTGTTGTTCGTCTTAATTTATATCCACCCATTTCACTTTTTCATAAATGCAGTAAGACTGTATCATCATCAAAAGCCCTCTTTTAAAAAGGTCCAGCAAGTCTCTATCTGAATATGCTTCCCTTTATAACCAGTGAACAGTTGGTGCCAGATCGTCTGTTCTGGAGCCCCTGGTAGCACAGACGGTAAGACACTCGGCGGCCTGCCAAAAGGCTGGAGCTTCCAGTCCACCAAGAGACCCCTCAGCCATTGTGAACCTTGTGAAGCACAGCTCTGCTCCACATGAGTCCCAGTCGATGCAGTTGCTGCTGGGTTTTCAACGTACTTTTCCATGGCCATGTAATGCGCCACGGAACACGCACATGAGTCTTATCCATCCATTTGTTTCCAGATTCTGTAGCTCTCCATGTTCACAGCTGCCTGTACATGTTGATCTTTGAGGGAGAAACCCCGTTTTGAATTTTGCCAAAATGAGTTGTGTGTTTGCATTGAACTTGGTCAAGGCATGCAGAGATGGAATGCGCACATCCAGTCATAGAACCGTTCGAACATCTAGAGTGGAAACACAAATTTAAATCTGGGATGTTAGTTCTAAGCTTGGATGAATTTTGGAAAGTGACTTCAGTGAGGGGAGGTCTGAAAGCTCCCTTCATATGCAAAACCTCTTGAGCCAGGAAAGCCCTGGGAATGTGCCACGGCAAAAATTGTGACGTGCCTACAATGGTCCAGAGCTCCTCGGGGGCACCAAGGGCCTTCCAGAGTGCTGATGGAGTCCAAGTGCGCTAGCAACGTTGTCCCGGAGAACTCAAATTCCCAGGAGTCTCCAGTCATGAGAGCAGCCTCTTCACTTTTGGTCCCATTTGAGCAGCTGGGTCTGGTCGTCAGGTCCAAACTGGTTTGGGTCTATTACTCTTTTCGAAACAAAGCTCTGGATTGTGCTGCCCTGGGTCAGACCAAAGACCTAACATATAGTCTCGTTTCCTCTAACAGAGAAAAAGGCAAGTGTACGAATCCAATCTCATCTGTGATGGCCTGCAGTTGGAAGCAACAAGATCTGTAAGTATTGGCCGGCTGGCTGCCCTTCTTTGGAGCCTGCAGGCCCCTGGCAATGCTGACGGCATGCGAAACAGGCAACTGGGCCACACCTGGGTTCTGACTCTCGGGGAGCAAGCTATGAAAATCTGCGCTGCAGAATATATGCTGACTTCTGATGGAAGCCAGCAGGGTTTTTTTTTTTTTAATGTCGCCAAAGATTTTAATAATAAATATTTGTCCAAAAGATTATGCAGTCTTCTCGCTAGAATCTTCAAATTTTTATTACTATATAAGCAATAGAGTTATGTTATACAATTAGGATATGTAAAAACAGTCAGTGTAGAAGTCATCAGTACTGTAATTTCCTAGAAATAACCGAGTAGTACTTTTAAATGTCTTTCCCTCAGATATGTTCGTATACATTTCCCCCTTTTAAAAAGTAAAATAATTTCAGTTTTGCAATTTGCTTTTTTTCCCTGACAACACGGTGAATATCTCTGTATCAGTAAATGTCATTCTTTCGTATCTCCTCTGTGATCAACATGCTGTTGAAGACAGATAATAAATGAAGCATTCATTTTTCTAGGTTTACAAAATTAAAAACTTATTAAAACAAATAGCACTACAAGGAATACCCTGGTGCTTTTATTTGTAGTCACTAATTTGCATGCAGTGCTGAATAAGTTGACAAATTTGGTTTCCTTCAATTAACGCATTAATAGTTTCATAAAAGAGCCCTGATACAGATTTGAATTTCTCAGTAACTCAACCAAGAAGTTATCTTTAAGATAAAAATTTATGGTAGCTTGTAAATCTGTTTTTTTTATTACATTTTCACTTTTACTGGAGTGTGTGTACATGTCTGTTGTTCCTTTTTGGACAACAGACAGCATAAGTAGAATCTGTATTTTACAACTGTGAAATTGTCAGCTTGGGGTCTGCTGTGTTTCTGTTCTTCCAATATAGGTTTTGGATGACAAACTTGTGTTTGTAAAAGTGCATGCACCCTGGGAGGTGTTATGTACATATGCTGAGTTAATGCACATCAAATTGCCTCTGAAGCCCAATGACCTTAAAACCCAGTTCTCAGCCTTGGATGGTTTCAACTGGCTTACCAAAGTCCTCAAAGTAGATGAGACGCTCATCAAGCCGGAGCAGGAGTTTTTCACAGCCCCATTTGAGAAGAACCGGATGAATGATTTTTATATTCACGATAGAGACACCTTCTTCAATCCAGCCACCAGAAGCCGCATTGTAAGTCTAATCCTAAAGTAGTTGCTGTCTTGGGGTGATTTGGAACCTGCTGTTGATTAATTAGTGGTTTTGTTTGGTTGGTTTATTTTTGTTTTAAAAAGCTGCAAAAAAGGAAAAAGAGACATATGCTTACATGACTGCTACAGTAGTAAGCAATGAATAAGTATAGTTACACCGTGTGAACCATACCCACACTCTGTTTTGGAATCCCTTCAGGTTCACTTCATCCTCTCTCGGGTCACGTACCAAGTACGGGACAACATCAACAAGTTTGGGATTAACAAGCTTGTGAGCTCCGGCATCTACAAGGCAGCTTTCCCTCTCCACGATGTAAGTCAAATGGCAGAAGTGAAATAAAACGCTCAGTGTATACTCTGGTCTTGACAGGAGTGAAGTGCTAACCCTCTTGACCTTGAGAATCCCGCTTGCTAAAATGAAGATGCTATACTGCGAGGTGGTGCACTCCCTTAGGGCAGGAACCTGGTTGCTTTCTTCACGGTTCAGTCTCCTCTCCAGCGTTGAGAAAGAAGGTGCTCAGCTTCAAGAAGTGGATGAATGAATGGGTGGATGGATGGATGGATGAATGGATGGATGGATGGATGAATAGCATTTCTCCCACATCTAAAGTGTGAAGCACTATAGATTACTCTTTTTATTTTTATCCTTTTAAAACAATATTATTGACATTTAATTCACTTAGCATACAATCCAATAGTTCATGCGATTTAAAGGAATTGTGCAACCACGTTCACAATTTTACAGCATTTCCTCTTCTCTTGTACTTGCTATTGTTAGCTTCACATTTCCCCCAACCTCCCTTGCCATAATACTAGGAAACGGTGAATCCACTTATTATTTCTTTAGATTTACCTCTCCTGAATTTCATACCCAGAAAAGCATACAGGAGTAGGGGTAGGGGGTGGGAGGGACAAAACCCAGCAACAATAACAAAATAAAACAGGAAAACCTCAATCGAAAATAAAGCAGAAAATATTTAAAAATAGAATAAATTTAAAATGGACCAAAAGGGAGAACAAATGAGAAGGTGTTAAATATTAACCTCACTGCATATGCACGAATCCAATTTCTGATCCACTCTGCCTGCTAGCAAAGCTATTCATCTCACTGGTTAATGTTCAAAGGGGATTCACCGGAGGCTTAATCCATGTGTAGACCCTGCAAATGGATTTGGGACTTCCACTGTCACCCATAACCTTCTGCAAACTGGGGGCTCAGAATTTAAGCTCTAATACCGAGTCTAGATTATTCTTTAAAAGCATAGAGTCTGGCACTAGAATACCTGCCCAACCAGTGTCTAGCTAGGTGATTTGAAAAGTATTTAATTTCTCCATTCCTCAGTTTTATCATCAATAAAATAGATATCATAATAGTGCTTTTAACACATGGAATTGTCATGAGGATAACTTAAATCAATCCAGTTAAAGAGTTAAGCCTAGCACTCGCATAGAATGAGTATTTTGATTGCCTCAGATGTCCAGGGTTCCTTGAATGACTATAGAAGATAATATAAAATTAAGACCCAAATTAAACCCACTGCCATCGAGTCAATTCCGACTTAGAACAACCCTGTAGGGCAGGGTAGAACTGCCCTTGTCGTTTTCCGACACTAACTCTTTATGGGAGGAGAAAGCCTTGCCTTTGTCCCATATACTTGCAGGTGGTTTTAAACTGCTAAGAGAAGCAGAAGAATTCTGGATAAATCCTCTTGCACATAGAGAAATCGAGAACCAGGAAGCTGAGTGGGGGAAGCGCATGCTGAGCCCCTGGCTATGAGACCCAGCATAGCCGTCCAGCTGACAGTCTACCTGTTTTAAATGGGTTCCCCAGCAAAACCACAGATGACATGAATTTAGAGGATACTGGCTGACAGTTGTGATGAGTATTAGCCTGGATTGCCATGGCTCTATAATATTTCAATGATTTTGCCTATACCCAAAACTTTCCCTTTAAAAGCCCACTGCCATAAAGTCAATTCTGACTCATGACCCTACACAGGGTTCCCAAGACTGTCCTGTTGTCTTTTATATCACAGCCAGCTTCATCTTTTGCCCACTGAGCAGCTGGTGGGTTTGAACTGCAGACCTTGTGGTTACCAGTCCAAGACCTAACTCACTGTGCCACCAGGAATCCCTTGTAATTGCAGTGGTCTCCTATCTAGGTTATGGTATCATCCTGTGGGACAATTGGAAAGAGGTGGCTGGGTGAGGTTCAGGGATCCTAGAAGGCTAGTTATTGTCTGATGTTATTGAGTCCATTGTGATGCATAGTGACCCCATGTGGTAACGTAGAACTGCCATAGGGGTTTCTAGGCTGTGATATTGATGGAAATAAAGCAACTGGTGGGCTTGGACCGCCAACTTTTCGGTTAACTGTTATACCATCGGGTCTCCTTATTCTGAAGCTTGGCTGGGTGGCAAGTCTGGTGGTTTTGAACTACTGACCTTTTGGATCACAGCCCATAATCACTCTGCTGCCAGGGCACCAGTTGTAGTACAAAGCGAAGGGAAAATGATTCGAAGGAGATATACGTGATTTAATTTATGCAGAGATGGGAAATTTTCATTGTTTCTTGAATAGGCTAAATGTATAGGCATAGCCCTGAGCTTCTTTATTTTTTATATATATTGCTACAAAATAACTGCTTAATTAGGGGATAGAGAGGCCTGGGCTTAGCATTGACCCAGCCATGAGCCAGCCAAGGCCCAGGTTCCCCCAGATGCCCATAGAAGAGCTGGGACAGTCACATATTCCTCCATCCCAATGATTTGGGCAACCCCAGCTTCCCTGGTTTAGGCCTGGGCTCTTGTAGGGATCCTGCATCCCTTGTGCACCCACCAAGCACTTACTGTGCCAGCCAGGATTATACCAGCCGACACTCCTCACCCCACATCTGCAAATGGCTTCAACAATGGAAGTAGTAGTACCCTTGGTTCAGAGTCACTAAGGTGGTATTTTTGTTCCTTTCACCCACGTCACAAACGACTAGGAAGTATCGGCACCAACGTGAACACAATTTTCACAAACAGACTTGCAAAAACATGACTAGTTTGATGCTCACCGGTCCCCTCTGCTCCTCAGTGCAACTTCGGCCACCAGTCAGAGGACCCTACCTGCCCTAGTGAACGGTACCTTCTGTACAGGGAATGGGCCCATCCTCGAAGCATCTATAAGAAGCAGCCGTTGGACCTTATCAGGTGAGTTGTAACTAGCGAACAGGTGGAAGCATCCATACGCTTGTGCTTGTGAGCTTCTAAGTTTCGGCGGACCCCAGAGGGAGGTGCCACAGAGGTTTAGAGACCCAACGGCTTTGGGGGGCATTGCTCAGCTAGAGGCACCCCCTTACCTGCCCTCCCGATAGAGGGGAGCTTCAGAGCATGCACTTCTCAGACATAATGCAACACAGTGAGACCCTAGGAGGCTGTCTCCAAGACACCTCAGCAAACACCGTTGTCCATGACTGTCCAGTAGTTTCTGAAGGGTCATGAATGAGTGAGGGAAAAGAATCCATGCAGTACCAGCCTGCATGCTGGCACTTCACATTTTAAAGTGAATCCGCTAGGGCCCTTATTTTTCACTTGTATAGGACAGTTCTAGAAGGATCTAACCTTTGGTGTGCTCATGATTTTGAGGTCTTGTCAAACTCTTTGATACTAGAGTTGGTTAGCATTCAACAGTAAGTTTAGTTATCACTGAGCTGTTGGGTAAAATAAACTTCCTAAGAGAGTTGGTTATAGTTTATATCTTTGAGTTTACTTTTCTACTGTAAACATAGTGACAAGTATGACTCCTGGAACGAATTTATTCTCGTGTAAAGGTTCTCTCTCGACAGACCTTAAAACCATTACAGCTAAACTGTTAAAGATTGTAGGGGAGTGCTTGTCACCTTTCAAAGTTTGAAGCAGAACCTCAACCCTGTAATGACACAATAGGGAGAAAACGTAGGTTATGTGTGTGCAGACCCTATACAGCTGTATGCTGTCAGTTACTCAGATCCCACACGTGCTAGTGTGGCGACTCTGCTCACCCCCAATATCACCAGTGCTCCCCGCACAGGTGGGATCGTGTACACATGTGAACAGCCAGCAGCAGGTGGGAGTCACTAGATACGCACGTGCCCGGCTGAGGCTGAGTGGGCCATGTTCTCCTTGTTGCTGCTCCTGTACTGGAAACAAGCGTGCAGTCAGCTGTCGTTAACTGCCCGCTTTCTCCCAGTTTTGTGAGTGACTCTACTGTTTAAAACGGCCCCAAAGCACCACACTGACATGCTCCCCAGTGTTCCTAAGGGCAGATGGGCTAGAATGTCCCTTAGGGGGAAAACTATGTGTGGATAAGCTTCAGTTTCAGGCAAGAGCTCTAGTGCCCAGGGCCACAATGCCAGTGCTAATGAAGCAAAAACACATACAAAATAAGGGGTGTTTGAAGAGACACACGAGTAAAACAAGCTTCATATGAATCCATGTGTGCAACTATTGTGACCAGAAACCTAATTCCCTTCCCCACTACTTGAATGTCCACTGCCACGTTATGAACCATGACAGCCAGGAAGCCTGGGGACTGCATATAAACATGCGGCATGTTTGCTGTGCCTGCTACTTATCTACCAAGACTGACTCAGGGTTTACTCTGATGTCAACCCTCTTCCAGCATCCCTGTCATTTGAATAAGACGTATAGTTAATGCTCGAGAGAGTCGGAAAATCAAGAAAACGAAAGCACACGAGCGATGACTTCAGATCAAATGAAGCCCACAGCAGAGTGCTGGGGTGGGGGAGGAGACGTCGAGGGGGCCGGAGGGGACAGATGAGCTGAGACGCAGATAGTGAAGCCAACCCGACTTCTATCAGTCATTGCTGACTCACAGCCATCCTACCGAGGGTCATGAGATGGCGAATCTTTCCAGAGCAGCACCCTCCACTTGCCCTCGTGGAGTGGTTGGTGGGTTTGAACTGCTGACCTTGGGGTTAGTAGCCAATACTTACCCTGCAGCTATACCAGAGCATCTTGTATAGTAAAAAAGAAAATAATTTGAGGAGGAAGAAGCTCTGCTAGGGTGGGTTCTGTGTTGAGCTGCTAACTGCGAGGCCAATAGTTTGAAACCACTGGTGCTGCTCGGGAGCAAGGTGAGGCTTTCTGCTCTCATCGAGAGTTACAGTGTTGGAAACCCACAGGAGCAGTTCTACCCTGTCCAATGGGATCCCTGTGCGTGCGAATCGGCACAAAGGTGGTGGGTTTGGTTTGAGTTGAACCTGAGGGTTTGAAAGAAGCCATTCTAGGCCGAGGGCCAGTGTATACAACGGCCCTGAGGCACAAATACATTTGGCACGTTTGAGGAGATGCCAGAAGACCAGTACTGATGAGAAATAGAATGAGAAGACAGGAAGTTAGAGAGTTAGCAGTTGCCAGGTAAGGAAATGATCATTTAAGTGCAATAAAATATTTCTTAGGTACCTCATCCTGCAGTCACAGACACACACACAAAATACCACAGATGAGTGACTAAATAATAAAAATGTATTTTCTCACATTTCTGGAAGCTGAAAGTTCAAGTCACAGGCTTAGCCATTTTGATTTCTTCTGTGGGTCTCTTCGAGCTTCTTTGCTCGGAGACGAGTTCTCACCTGCCACCTGCCCGCCCTCTTTGTGTGGCTCTGTGTCCAGTTTGCTCTTTTTATAGGATACCACTCAGAAATGATTCGATTTAGGATCCACCTGTGGTAATAATTTCTTTTATCGGAATTAATACCAAACTAAACCCAAGAAGTTGGAGATTGAAAAGTTCCAAAAGTCCAGTCTTGCAAGATGAGAGTCTGCCCCACTTTCCACCCATTCGTCTGTGGAGCCTCTCCCCTCAGGGCTCTGGTTCTGTGAATCAGTGCAGTGTCCCCACGAACTCAGGGAAATGGGAGGAAATGTCTCCCATGGTGGGGGGAGCAGTTCAGTCCAAAGTGCAAAGGTCAGGTAGGGGTAATCCTGGGGCCGGAGGATACACTCCACTCCTGGCTCTTGCCAGTGATGAGATCAAAGCCCCAGTTTCTCAGTGGACGGATTTAATACACAGCAGGATGGGAATCCTGTCCACGGTTACTCACAGGCAAATCCTGCCAGTATGTTCTCAAACCTTCTTATGAGACCCATGTAGGGAAAGGTTGTTTGGTGGGAATTACATGGTGCAATCAAATCTCATTCCAATGTAATAATCTAGTCTTCCCCCCTGGACTGTGTCTGATTTGTGCATATATTAACTGGGCCCTCAGGGAAGAGGTTTCCAAGAGGCATCGACCGTCTACTGATCTTAGTCAGCCAGGCTTTCCCCCCAGGCCACTCCAGAAACAGTTTTCTTTCTCCTTTCAACTGTCACATATAATTCCTTAGATCCACTCTAAGTAATAGTAACTAAGATATCGTTCAACAAACACCCTCTACTAAGGTCACATCTCAATCTTGTCCCATTCCTGTTTGTTAGCAGATAATGCCCTCCAAAGTGGGACAGAGGCACAGGGTGTATGAAATCCAGAATTGCTCTGCATCTCATAAGGGATCAGGGTTGGAAGGACCATTTTCAATCAGTATAACTTACCATCTACTCTAGTGATGACCTTATTAACATAACAGAAGAAAGCCCTGTTTCCAAACTGAGAGACATTCACAGGTACAAGAGTTAGCACTTTTGCATTTCTTTATGGGAGTGTAATTGAATTGATAATAAGGATAATAAAAGCAATAATAAAATCAATAATAAAAATCATGATATTTTAAGCACACAATTTTTCATCTTGTTTGCACTTGCAAAGATAATGTGGAGAATGGATCGCAGGGTTGTACAGGGTCCTGTGATTCAGAACGGATTTGATGGCAGAGATAAGTGGCAGGACAGGAAGCAGCAGTGAGTTAGGGAGCAGGCTTTTTGAGAGGTGCAGGGGGGAGATTGTGGGAACAGAGGCCTTGGGATGCCTTTGGAGAGTAGATACAACAGGGTCAGCATGGACTAGAATTGAAGGGTGAGTAGAAGAGAATCAAGTTATCCTTAAGTCTAGGTAGGCACTGTGCAGGTGCCCATTAATAAAACCTTTGACCATAATAATGAGGCTTTTTAAACACCTCAATAGTTATTTAGGTCTCTACTTTATCACAGGAGATTTCAAACATAAACTAATAATTCCGTAATATCAAATAACCAGTGTTCAGATTTCCCTGCTAATCTCAAAATCATTTTTTTGGTAGATACTTTGTTGTGTTGTTACAATCCCGATCTAAACCAGGTCCAGATGTCGCAACTACTAGGCCTCTCAGATTTCTCAGCTTGCCCCCCTTTTTTCTTGCTATTGTTTAAGAGTTTCCTCATTCTCTGTTTCGCTGATTCCAATTTTTCCTGTGCCGCTGAACATATGCCAGTGTTTCCTTTTAAATAAGGATTCTGATCACTCTCATAGGGGTTTGGTCTGATGCAGAACTAGTGTTTTTGACCAGAGTACTGTATATTTTCAGGTCTACTGACATTCCTGGGTGGTGATTGGTCACCTTATAGGTAACTCCTGCGTGCCCTCTAATGTCATGGAAATACGCCCTCACTTGGAAGCCGTGAGGAGACGGGTGGTGCCATGGTTGGAGCCCTCCCTGCACACTGAAAGGTTGTTGGTTACTTTGTGGCAAAGGTGTGGCCTGTCATCTGATTGACAGCCTCGGAAACCCTGTGCGGCCAGGTCTACTCTTTCCTCTGGGCTTGCCATGAGTCAGAATCAATGCTGGCCGTGGGTTGAAATGATTGACTGAGCCCATGTTTGCAATTCTTCTTGACAGTCACCTTTACTGGCTGCACACACAGCTTTAAAGTTGGAGGGAATGTCTGACCCAAGGACCGTATAAAGCCCATGAAATCACCCAATCCCCGCTAACATCACATGCCTCACCAAGAGAAGCTGTGCCAGCCATCACATTCCAAACCAAACTCAATTTCAACAAGGCAGTGTCAACTCATAGTGGCCCCACAGGACAGGGTCGAACTGCCCCTGTGAGTTTCTGAGATGGTCACTTCTTACTAGGCAGCAGAAAGCCCGTCCTTCTCCCACTCCCACAGAGTGGCTGGTGGTTTCAGTCTGTTGAGATCACAACCCAATGCATAACCACTATGCCAGCAGGATGGTCTGAGGATGATGTTATAAAGATCCTATTGGCCCTTGGCAGCAAAAAGGTTCCCC